GGGGCCGTTCCAACCTCACGGGGGCCTTCTCAACTTCTCAGGGGGCCATCTCAACTTCACCGGGGGCGGTCTCAACCTCCCGGGAGCCGTTGCAACCCCACCAGGGGCTATTCTCAACCCTCACGGGGCCGTTCTCAGCTTCACCGGGGGACGTTTAAGCCTCACCGGGGGTGATTCGACCTCACCCGGGGCCGTTTCGACCTCACCGGGGCCGTCTCGACCTCACCGGGGCCGTCTCGACCTCACCGGGGCCGTTTCAGCCTCACCGGGGCCGTTTCAACCTCACCAGTGCCGTCTCGACCTCACCGGGGCCGATTCAACCTCACCGGGGCCATCTCAGCCTCACCGGGGCCATCTCAGCTTCACTGGGGCCGTCCCAGCCTCACCGGGGCCATCTCAGCCTCACAGGGGCCGTCTCAACCTCACAGGGGCCATCTCAACCTCACCGGGGCCGTTTCAGCCTCACCGGGGGCCAATTCAACCTCACCGGGGCCGTTTCAGCCTCACCGGGGGCCAATTCAACCTCACCGGGGCCGTTTCAACCTCACTGGGGCCATTTTGACCTCATCGAGGCCGTCTCAACCTCACTGGGGCCATCTCAATCTCACCGGTGCCGTCTCGACTTTACTGGGGCCGATTCAACCTCACTAGGGCCATCTCAACCCCACTGGGGCCGTCCCACCCCCATCGGGGCTGTCCCAGCCTCACCGGGGCCGTCCCAGACTCTCGGGGGCTGTCCCAGCCCACGGGGGCTGCCTCGGCCCTACAAGGGCCGCCTCGGCCTCACGGGGCCATCTCAGCAACACTAAGTTTGACATTCTGTCCTTTGTTGGGCGGCTCCTTGCTGGACAAAATCTCCAGGCGTTCCTCGTGGCTGAATATCTGGTATGCTTGCTTGGATTTCGTTTTCTACCAAGTGCACAGACTGCCTGTCTGCCGTCTCCCAGCGTCCCATGTGAGACTGGATCTGGTGAACCTGCCTGTGCGTTTGCTGGTATAGCGGTTCCACATCACCGGCCCAGCCGGGTCCGGCTCTGGCTTCCTCCGAACCTGATTCTGCTTCTTGAGTGTGTCCCTTATGTATGCGAGGAGTTGAAACTTGCATTCTGCTGGGCTGGGCTGCAAAAGCGCCAGTGGTTCTCTTTGCCACTAGCACAGCTTGGGTGGGGATGTAATTTGAGTAGGGCGGGGTCCCCGGGAATCACCAGGGTGGGTCCAAGGGCAACGGCGTCTCGCGTCTCCTCGCCTCTCTGTGACTCAGTGTCTCGCGTCCCCGAGTGCCGGCGAGCAGCTCAGCAAGACAGCACTCTCGCTCTCCGGCCCATTGCAAAGCCGTCCCGCCTCTCCCTGTAGGGGTCTGGAACCTCAGAATTCCGCCCCAAACAAGCTCAGTGGACTCGAGAGTCTGCATCCCCTTCCGATTGAAAAAAAGCCGCGCATCCAGTTGCAGCCCGCCTGGCGCGCGACTCCGTACCTCCGTTCTTGGAGCCTCTGCACAACCTACTCAGTCTCAATGCTCTTCTTTCTTTACTTCCAGTTGTACAGCTTCCACTGGGCCAGCCTTCCCATGGTTCTGAATGATAACTGTTTGTTTTATAGTTGGTAGTCTCGATGTTGTTGGGGGAGGCAGCATGCACAGGTCTGTACCTTACGCCGCCATCTTGGTTCTCTCCATAAAATTATTTTCGTTGCTATTTCATAACTGTAATTTTGCTACTGTTATGAATCGTAATGTAAATATCTGATATGCAGGATGTATTTTCATTGTTTGTGACCCACAGGTTGAGAACTGCTGCCTCATCTTTGTTTAGAGCCTCATCTTTACATGCAAGGCAATATACTAGTATGTAAAGAGCTTAACACTGTCGATGGCTTTTAGTAAGAACTTAAGTAATACCTTTTATTATTACTGCAACTGACCCGGTGACCTTGGCTTTCCTCTTTAAGTAGCAAATAAAATAACATGTAAAAAAATTTTAAAAGTATAGGTTACTATAAAAATAGATGGAACATATTGAAATGCAATAAATTGGAAAAATTAACCCAGCATTAATGTTACTCTGGATTTCTGTCCAAATCAAAAGAGGTGTGGGAAGTGGGGGTGACGGAGGGGGGAGACTTACCTTCAAAAGTTTCATTCATTAGTTTTGTTTGTTCGCTCGTATTTAATGATGCTATATGTGATGAGAGCTTTCTGGCTGTTTCTTTTTAGATTCCACCAGTACAGACACCACCGTGTGGATCTTTGTGGCTGTGCTTTCTGTTGTCGTCTGTCTGATTATGGTCTGGGCAGTGGCTATGAAGGGCTATAGGTACTTCATTGTCTATCAACCTTCCTCCCACCATGGTTTATGGGATAATGATTTTTTTTTTAAAGGCGAAAGCGAGATGATGGAAACTTACAGATAATTCAAGCACCTGATTTTAGCCATTAGCTCCAGGGTGCTACCCATAGGAAAATCTTGTCAGTATCAGCAAAAGTTGCAGAATGAACTCATTTGAAGCTGGTGTTCTTTCCATCAAACTGAGGCTTGCAGTTGGAAAATAGTAAAAAAAAAAAAAAAATCTGGCAAGAGCAGCTAAAATCAAGAGGAACAACTAGTGCAAATAATCCACTAATTTCCAAATCAGCCCCTCAGTCAGCCAGAGCTAATTTTGATGTTGGCCTCTATAATTATTGTCTTCACCGACTGTCAATTTCATGTAGCCGCGCCCCTCTCCCACCCCCAGTTTTAACTCCTCTCTACCATAGTCCATGTAGCAGCTATTTATAGGTAATACTAACCTTTTAGAAATTACAAAGTGATCAAATGAGTCATTTTTTCTATCTCACACATTATTTTACAGCATGCTGACCTGCGTCTTTCCACCAGTTCCTGGGCCAAAAATAAAAGGGCTGGATATTCATCTGCTGGAGGTAAGTGCCAGAGGTGGAGCATGTCTCTTGCCTCACCGTCTACAATAACGACCTTTACACATGCACACACAGTCCCCATCTGTTCGGCCCGGCTGCCTCAGTCACCCTTGCCCCGCTGTCCCTCCTCTTTAGAGAAAGATGCGTGAGGCATGAGGGTCCTTCCTAGGAGACATTAAATGTCAGAGGGAAGAGAGAGGAAGCCAAGAAAATGAGACAACACATAGTCATGCTTTCTAGACTTACCAGGTCTATTCATAAGCACAGATGTGAACATTCTGTACAAATAATCAATTTAGAAAAAAAGGTGAATATTTTGTTTAATACAAAAGAGGGACCTACCGTCCCCCTGCCCTCCATCACACTTTGGTGCAAGCTTTCACTTGGATGTTCTTTACAGAAGGTCATGGTGACAGAATAGCCTGCTGCGGTGTTCGCTCTGTTTGGGCCCACAGTTGAGACTGGGTCAGTGCAGTGGGCTGGTGTCTGCCAGGGCCCATTTAGGCTGATTCAAGTGGGAATTAAATGTAAGTGTTTTGAATGAAAAAGTGGGTTAGAACATTTTAAATTTCTCTGCAGGTTGAAATATTTAGTTTCAATTTGACCTTAAGTTTAACACCGATATTTATACAAGCAATTGCCTTTGCATTATATCATGTGACCTAGCCACTGTGAGGCTAACAGTACAAGAATGTGAGAAGTGAGTTCCCGAGAATTTGGCTTGACTACATTCACTTTGACTGCAAATATCATAGCAGGGACTCAGGCCCTGGAATTTGGGTTCCTCGTTCAGTGCTTTAACCCTACTGTCCTTTGAAAACCAGCATGAACATCTCAACTAACTAAATTAAGAACTACTTGACCTTGTAGTCACAGGAGCTTAATGAGAAAATAACTTCTTTTTGTGTCACAAACAAACAAACAAAAGTTATTGTTTTCTCAATCACATGACCTCCAATCCTCAAAAGAACCCTCCCATATGACACTGTTATTCCCATTTTACAAATGGAGAAGCTGAGAACCACTGAGCAGCTGGTTCAAAGTCAATGCCCATTAGTAAGTGAAAAAGCCAAGATTTAGGCACAAGTACCTGACCTAAGTCAGAGGATCAGGAAGAAGAGTGGAAAGTAAGAGGAGAAGGCAAAAGGAAGAACGAGGGAGAAAGAGAAAGAGGAGGGAAAGGAAGAGCAAGAGAATGAGAAAATATGTACTAGCAGGAAGAGAGAGGGGAAATGCAGTAGAGAAGAGAGAAAAGGAGGATTGGAGAGGAAGGGGGCAGAAGGAAGGAATAAAGAAGTAGGAAGAGGAGATGATGAGAAGCAACTTAACTGCTTCCAGATTCTAGAAAGTGGTGGAGGAGGTTAGGAGACCAGCAACCAGATCTTAGAGCCGCTGAGTCCCGGAGTAAATGTTTCTTCTTTAACAGTTATGTTTCTCATCTGTGCATATACTACTGCCCATTAAACTCATGGTCATTATTGCCTAGAGAGAGACGAAGTTAAAATCATGAATTGACTTAAAGAAAATTATTAGATGAATAGAAGTCTAGGAGGTGATTATAGATGGCCTGGTACGCAAATGTCTAAGGTTTGGGAAATGCTGCTAGACGGTTACAGCTTCCAGCTGCCCGTGCGTGAGCACAGCTGCGCTTTGGTGCTGGTTTGGAATGTTCTGAAGCTCACAGCCATTCTTTGTGTGTCTGTTTTAACAGAGGGGCAAGTCTGAAGAACTGCTGAGTTCCCTGGGGTGCCAGGACTTCCCCTCTGACTGTGAGGACTTGCTGGTGGAGCTGTTAGAAGTCGTTGACAGCGAGAACCAGCAACCGGTGCAAGTCCATTTGAAAAAACACCCCGATCAAGGGCTGAAGCCCACACCCCTGGACCCCGACAGTGACTCTGGCCAAGGCAGCTGTGACAGCCCTTCCCTCTTGTCCAACAATCATGAGGGGTCCCAGGAAAGTCCCTCCACATTCCACACTCCTGGGGGCATTGAGGAGCCAGAGAACCCTGAAGGAAATGGTGCCCACACCTGGGACTCTCAGAGCACCAGCGTGGAAGGCCGAGTCCCCTATTTCTGTGCTGATGGACCCAAATCTTCAACATGGCCTTCACCGCAGCCCCGCAACCAGCACAACCCCAGATCGTCTTACCACAACATCGCTGATGTGTGTAAGCTGGACCCGGGCACGGCAGGTTCCTCTGCCACCGTGTTGGACAAAACAGACAAGTGTTCTCTAACGTCTTTGGAAACCACTGAGCCTGGAGGGGAAGAGAAGGCGGCCCAGCAGAGGTGGGTGGAAAGCTTCCATTCCAAGACTGACCCAGACACCCCGTGGCTGCTGCCCCAGGAGGACACCTCCGTTATCTCTGCTAAACCCTTGGATTACGTGGAGATTCACAAGGTCAGCAAGGACGGAGCATTGTCATTGTTCCCCAAACAAGAAGAGAACGGCAACCAGACAGAGAAGGCCGGCGGTCTTAAGACCAGGATGGAATACTCGAAGGTGGCCAGGGTGATGGAGAGCAGCATCCTGGTGCTGGTGCAGGACCCGCCCGCCCCCGACCTGGCTTTGTTTGAAGAACCAGCCGAGGAAGCCCCACCATCCTTGCCACATAATCAAGAGGAGAAAGACCTGGCCGCCTTCGCCATGACACCAAGCAACTGCAGACTGGCCGGGCTGGACTACCTCGACCCCGCGTGCTTAAAGCACTCTTTCCAGTGACGGCTTGATCATTGGCATGGTTGGTTAAAATGTGATTTTTCTTCAGGTACTGCTACAGCGCACATGAAATGTCCTCTCCTAGAGAATGTTCGAGAATGGGGTTCGAATGACACTACTAAAACTCACAGTTCCCTCTTCTTCATGCTCCATTTTCAACCAGTGGCCTCTTTCTCCAACAGCTGATTCCAGATTGGATCATTTTGTTTCCTGTGATTTGCTGATCTAGTGTTTGTTTTTAGTTATAAAATCGTATGTTCAATGCAATAGAAGTGCACTGCTTAGTATTCCTGAGGGACTGTGCCAATAGGTAAAGCCTCCGGAAAAGGCGCCCATGGTTGGGCATAGGCCAGGAGGAAATGAAGGAGTTAGCATAGCTCAGCGCAGGAAGATGATAGATGTGAGAAGAATGCCATGTAAGCTGCTTTTGAAAACCAGTTGCTTATCCTTTGCACTCCCCTCCTATTTTATTGAGATTAACCAAATATAACACATTGCACGAAAGGATGCATTCCGGAACCGACACGTCATTTACATCACTTCCTGTTACCTTAGTGACACGTTGCTGATATGCAAGTAAAAATCATGCCTCCATTTCTTTTTCTTAAAATAGTTGCAATCTGGTAAGCCTGGATTCCCCTCTTCCAAATTGTATTTCATCCTAAAGCCTCTAGAAAATATAGTTTTGGAGAGTGAGATTTTCTTACACAGGAGGCAAGTGAATTTGACGTGATGGATCCTCCTAAAACGGTTTCCTGCTTCATTTCAACACAACAGATAATTTATTATACACCCTAGTCTTCTCTTAGTGGAAAAAAAAATCCCCAAAGACTAACTTTAATTTCAAAGATAATCACAGCGGGATGGTCATGGAGATACTGCCTTACTGTACATACAGATTCTACTTTACTACAGACCCGTAAGTTTAACAATGTATTTTTGAAGACTATTTTTCTACCACTTAGGTAAAGTAAATGAGTATTTTCTATCTTCCCAGTACAGCTGTTTACGTAGTCAGAGGGTACAGTCTTTTCTGCTGAGGCTGCAGGGAGCATTTACAGTCCATAATAGTATACGCAGCCCCTATTTGTGGAGCAAATGCCATACCAACCAAAGCCCACTGAGGAGTGTGAGGTGGGTGACAATATTCAATTTCCAATACAGCATAGTATAGTTTACCTGATTCTTTTATCTCCAGATACACTAACCAACAATCACCAATAGTGTGTTAGGACTCTCCACACACAGAAATTTTTTCTCCTGTAATTTAGGGCTAATCTGGGGCTCCTGCTCTTCTCTGGGTGAATATTCCAGAAGCCATCGTGAAAAAGGAGGGTGTTGACATCCAGCATACTGTTTTAGAGAGAGAGTTTTGTTTTGCTTTGTTTTTCTGAGCAATCTTGGACAGCAAAGATATTTTCAGCAAAGCCATGGGTTAGTTATCTCTCTGGAGTAGATCCATTTGCAAAATCTTGGCAGAGACAACATTCACGTCAGAAGTTTCCAAATAAATGTTTTGAGAAACAGCATCTGTGGAGTGGTGGGCACAGCTACAAAGACCAGGGTCTGGTAGTAAGAATCTCTGAGTCAGTGCCAGGGGCAGGCTCCCCGGAAGGATCAGAAGCCTGGATCTCCATCTTAAAGAGAGCACCCATAACTCATGAGCTGCCTCCCTCTCTTGTTTATTTCACCTGATGGCAAATCCTTTCTTTCTGTCCACTCCCCAGCTGGACTTAGAGAATTTGAGCTCACCTCTGTGAGTTAAGTATTCCACCCAACAAGCCCATGTTGATGGGAACTGGAGGCAGAGGTGATGGTAGAAAGCGAATACACTGTCCTGGCGTCCAGATTGCAGAAATAATAGACCTGAGGCTCTGTTCTCCCAATACATCAACATCGTAAGGGTACGCGGAACATTTGGAAAACTTGTCCCCAAGTTCATTCAGTCTCCTAGATCCGTGGTCGGCAAACTGCGGCTCGCGAGCCACATGCGGCTCTTTGGCCCCTTGAGTGTGGCTCTTCCTAAGCCTTAGGAGTACCCTAATTAAGTTAATAACAATGTACCTACCTATATAGTTTAAGTTTAAAAAATTTGGCTCTCAAAAGAAATTTCAATCGTTGTACTATTGATATTTGGCTCTGTTGACTAATGAGTTTGCCGACCACTGTCCTAGATCCTTGCTACTTAAAGTCTGGTCTGAGGACCAGCTGTGTCATCATCACCTGGACGCTGCATGGAAATGCAGACCTCAGTCTCCCTGGCCCAGAACTACAGAGTCAGAACCTGCATTTGACTAAGTTCCCCGGGTGACCCCTGTGGGTGATGAAGTTTGAGAAGTACCGCCCTCCATGACCACTTCCCCTAAAGGCTGTTTTAGCACATGGAAACGCCTCTCTTGGAAAGTACAAGTCAAGTCTGTTTGACTTACACTGGACAACACTGTGCGTAAGGAGAAGGCATAATTTTTTAAGATCTATCTGTACTTTAAGATTCACATGATGGCACAGAATGACCTGCAAAAGTACACGCAACTTCTAAGAGGGCCAAAGGATATAGTCCACCTTGAGTAGCATTGACCAAGACTCTGCCCTTCAAAGCCAATGCAGACTAAAATGTTCCCCAAATAGGCCATTGTTCTCCAAGATGTATATCAATCACTCTGGTAGCTTGCAAATTAAAAAATAATCTGATTTTGGTATTCATGAAGAAATGTTATGGGTAAAGAGTCAACTTGAACCGAATTCCTATAAAAACACCAATTAGCCACTCACTAAGTCAAGCCAAGACTATATTTCTTTGTCATTGGGACTCGTATTTGAATTTAAGTGTTTTTTTTCCCATGGGTAGAATATTTTCTATCAAGGAAACAGCTAGTCGGATGGAAAGATGCAGGTTGGGGGTCAAGAGTCCCCGGCTCTAGTCCTAACTATGTCACATTAGACAGATCAATTCCCTTCTCTGGGCCCCAGTTTCCTCTGAAAGAAATATTGGTCCAAATAGATTCTAATGTCCTTTCAAACTCCAACTCCCTGATTCCATGACTCACTATTTTCTAGCCAAGATAATTCAACCAATAAATGCCTTGTATCTTGCTAACAACTAATTGCCCTTCATCGTAGGAATGCAAGTACCTTCAGTGATGTTTCCTTTTTGATCATCAGTTCCAGTTGGTCCTAACATACCGCATTGTGTATTTTATAAATTACATAGGTACAGAATCATAGTCTCAGATTGTGTGCAAATATGTGTGTAGCGAGAAGAAGAGGCATGAGATTTTTTTAAAAGACATTTTGAATGTGGCTCTACTTTTTAGAAAAACGATCTTTTGCTGAATCAAGCCATGCTTACTTCTTGCTGAGTCCAACAGCCCCACATCTCCTTTCTTACAGCTGGCTGCTGATTCTGGTATTTTTTTCTCTCTCCTAGATTACCAACCAACATTGCACAGTTGGTGTAATTTTCTGAATTATGAAAAGTCGCATTTTATAAACAAAAGCCTAAATATTCATGTTACGAAGCACATGGAAATGGGATAGCCATTGGGTGATTTAGGGAAGCTTATGGCCCAAACTGCAAATGTGCTGTGGTCGGTTTTTACAAATGGGTATTAGGCACCTCAACATGAGCACAAGTTCCTCTCAGCCATGTCATTGACACTTAGCTGACTCTTCTTTCTCCTAAGTGCCTCAGGCCAACCCTGGTTGGCAGTTATGGATTGAAAACTTGCTTTCACCGGTTTAGGTCCATCCCTCAGCACCTGTGCAAGTCAAGGAGTTTGACTGCTTTTCCCATAGTGACCCAACTGAATCAGAGAGTCCTGAGAGTTAAGGGGCGGCTGGAGGCTGTGGAGGAAATCTGGCTCTTTCGCTGGCTGCCCGCGGCTGCCCATCGCTTCCAGAAAGACGTAGCCCTGCCTTCAGAAACTTCCCTATCCCTTTAGAGTAGACGAGAAAGAAACAGATTTGTACGCATTCTACAAAGTGCCTTTCTTTACTTTTATATTTTTTAATGTTTCCTTTTCACAAAAAGTGTATTGATTGGAAAGTAAACTTTCCTTTTTTTATGTAAATGAATGAAGAAGCCAGAATGGAATGATGAAATGGTCTAAAGTCCAACCAGCAACTGCTCAGAGGCTTTTTAAATTTATAGTGTAACTGAACGACCACAGAGTCGATGTGAATCCTGTGACTTCCTTTGATAAGCAATTGACTCTGGCTAGGGTTTAGGGAGTCAGCCTGCCGCCCCCAGACTTCAGCTTACAAGCACATTGATGCACTTATGAATGGCTGTGAATTGCGTGCTTGGCCCTGAAAAGGCAATGCACACACAATGGAACTGTGCACAGACAAGAGAATGTGAAGGACTCTGGGATACCCCCCGTGCTGGCTCATGCAGACTTGCCATTGATAAAGGCGCCATGTGTACGTCAGTGAACACATCTCCTTTTCTGCCTTTTCAGCTGCGGCACAATTGTGTTGTTGCTAGGGTAGTGGCTGAGCGTTCAGTTTCCAGGTCTAGGGCACATTGCTGCCACTAAACAGGCTGTTGACTTGATGCAAATCCTTTAAACTCTAGCTACCATTTTCCTCACCTATTAAATATGTAGGTTGGCCTTAAATCTTTCAAAGACCGTGTTACAACTCTGTCTCATTTTCATGATCTAAGTAAAATCTAGGGTTTCTGGTGAAAGGCCCAAGTACAGTCAGAAAAACATTGTTGGTGTGCCCTTAGCCTGAAGCAGTGAACAGTGTGGCTGGAGCAATGTTTGAGAGAAAAACAGAGATCCATCCCTCCCAGTCAGATGGACTTGATTTAGCATCCTTGCTTCTCTTCTTGATTGTCCATACTTGTAGGCTCTTTCTTCTCTCGCTGCAGGGCCTATAGTTACTCATGGCTGTAGCAACTTTAAGAACTGCAAAAAAACCTGAATTATCCCTAAACAATGACAATGGCCCTGCAAAAGACTGAGTCAGGCCAGGTTGAGGGTCATAAGTAACCTAAGTTGGAGATTTGCATGCTTAGAGATTCTAGCTCTATTCATTAATTACTAAACTAATTCAAAGACCATTCATAAATCCAAGCGACATTGACAGCTCGGTCCTGGAGGTCTTAAACAGAAACTTAACGCTATAGAATGATTGCTGAGGGCTGGTGGTCTCGCCAGGAGTTCTATGTCTAAGTATGGCCTGGATGTGTCCCACGATGTGCGAATCAAGTGGGAGCTCTCTCCTCAGACTGGTGTTTTTCAGGAAGGTGGTTTTTGGCCTGAGATCCTCATAGTATCTATTTCAAAGAAAGGAAAAAGATCAAAAATAGAACATTTTCAGAGGTTTGGGCATCTCGGGAGTCCATTAAATGCTAAACCCAAATTTTATGAAACCTGGTGAATCCATAATCTAATCAGTGTTCTGAGTTGAGATGTACATAACTCACAACACCATAGGCCCATGGATTCCTTTGACCTATGCTCTGATTTTAAGTCAGGATGAGCTGAGACGTGCAGAGTGGTAAAACATATCCTATTCATATGACGTGGCCAATGAATAGAGAGAGACCTTGGATAGTCTTAGTCTATTAGTTAAGTTTCACCTGCTTCTGATTAAACAGAAAAAACAATTAACTCACAAAACTTTGGCTACAGTAGTAGTAATAACAAAAATAATATTTAATAGTTGTGGTCAAATTATGCGTCACCTGGATAAACTTCAAAATATAGTCTGAGTTTTTCCATGCAAATTTCACAAGTCCTGGAGGGAAATAAGACATTTGTTTGTTATGCTATCTGAAATTGGAAAACTACATGGCAGAGATACTTCTGAGAAATAATTTGTTTTATAAAATTCCTGATGAAATGGTTTTTTAATTTTTCAAAATAACTACCTCCCCTTCTTGTCCTAATGTCCTTTCTTCAAAGCTGCTTATTGTTAGAACGAAGTGTGTCACGTCTCATGCTTCAACTCTTTTTCAGTGGTATATTTGTTGTATTTGCCAGGTGATATTCCTGACTTTAAAGTAACTATTATATTATTTTACATTATAATGCTTTATGTGGTTCAAAAACTCTAAGACACATTGAAATACTAGTATATAGTCAATCCTCATGTTGTGAAACTCATGTTACACAAATGAAAATAATTATTTAATGACTTACAATCTATTCATATGTAGTTTCAATATGATTGTGTCTGTGTCTGTAAAACAAAACTGAAGGAAATATGTAATCATACAATTCTGTTGAAACCGTGACTACACTAATTTTTTTCTTAATCTTTGTGTAGAAGTAGTATAATATGCCATTTGTACAGCTGAGCTGGGGTGTTAAGTGTTTAGAGTACAACCAACAATTGTTTGAAAGTCAACCAAGCCCTCAGCTTTGCTTCGCGTGACCTCTGATGCTTCTTGAGTGTTATTTGCATCATGGGGCCTGCTTTTGTGCTTGATCATTCATTTTTTTTTAAATTTCAGAGTCTCGTGTGGAAACCAAAGCAATGTTGAAGCAGCCTGTGTCTTCTGTAAAGCCATATTGAAGTAAAGACTGTGTAATAGCATAAAGTTCCATATTTTCAAAGCTACCACTACCTCTGCTTTGTCTCTTTCCTAGAAAATGCCAGGCAGATTTCTTCACCATTAAGTGGGAAATTAGAAGCGATTGTTACAAAAGCTGATGGATAGTTGTGTTTGTTTGTTTGTTTGTTTGTTTGTTTGCTTGTTTTTACATGAGACAACACCTTCTAATTCACCATTTTGCAGGTTTATGCTAGGTTGTCTCAAGAGCCATTTCTACATCTACTAAAAACTGGATGATGAATAAGGACCAGAAAGAACACATAGTAAGTCACTGATGAAAAACCAACAAAACCAGAGAGCGGATTTGTTTCCTAACCATAAATCACCTGTTGCCCAAAGTCATGATGATGTTATCTCTCACAGTTTGATTTCCCCAATTCCGCGTAGAAATAAGTCTTTTCCTTATTTGATTTTAGACATCAAATATATTATGGTATGGGAAAAGTCAATCAGATATCATAACTAACCTTGTTTCAATTTTTAAAATTTATTTCTACATATACTTATTATAATGATGATTTTTTTTTCTTTTTAGCCTTAAAGAATTATAGATGATAATCATCCAATTTATCCTGCATTTTTAATTCTGTAGATCTTTGGTTATTGAACCTTGTGCTTTCTGTTTTCCGTGGATTTACTCCTTTGTCTCTTTCCATTTTGAGGAGACAACGTGGACAGTTACATCTTTGTCAATCGTATGGGAGATTATGCTAAGTGCTGTTACCCTAACATCTTCATCTTTTCTGCACGCCAAAAACAATGCTTGGCAAACAAAATCGTAGACGTCCCAGTACAATACGGTCATTATATTTCTATTCATGTTATTGAAAATTCCCAGCTCAGTGCCTGGCTCAATAAATGTTTATTTCCCTTGCCTACCCTTCCTCTATTTTTTTTTTATTTGACATGGAAATGAGCAGAATATCGTGTGTGTGGTTGAAACAACTTTCTTGAGGAATGTTTGCTGCAATCGGATCTGTTATCCAGAAATTGTTGGTATACAAACAATTCCGTTTTCCTCCTTTATCGTCATCCTTCCTCATGGCTGCAAACATAATAGCCCCCTTTACCTGCCCTTTCACATGACAAGCTGCTCAAACTAGAAGGAGATGGAACATGAACATGGGGAGCAAATCAGAGAAGCTCATTTAGATATTGTAAAATGCCCCTGGCTGGTCTGGCTCAGTGGATAGAGCATCAGCCTATGGACCAAAGGGTCCAGGGTTCGATTTCGGTCAAGGGCACGTACCTCAGTTGCAGGTTCCTCCCTGGTCCGGGCCCTGGTCAGGGCTCATGCAGGTGGCAACCAATCGATGTGTTTCTCTCACATCAATATTTCTGTCTTTCCCTCTCTCACTCTCTCTCAAAATCAATGAAAAGATATCCTCGGGTGAGGATTTTTAAAAAATTAAATATTGTAAAATAAAGGAATGACCAAACCATTAAAAAATCATAATAAATGAATTTATTTAAAGCAGCATGGATTTTCCATATTATGAACATCTTTTCTGATGAAACCCATCAGATTAAGGACTCTGGACCTAGAAACCTTGGCTGCTGCTCATGCTTGTGGTACAGAAATAGGAGCTGGTGTGGGTTTTGCTTTACAAACTTCTCTGCCTCCTGGTTCTCTCATGCCATGTTTTCTGGGGCCATGAAGACTTCTCTGCGTATCACGGTCCAAAACTTGGCCTCCGTCAAACGCGGACTCTCCCGTGCTTAAGTGGGTGTCATCCGTCTTCAATACTGGGGCGCACTTTCACTTTTAAGCTGCAGAATTTGGAGGGTCAGCCACCAGACACAACATTCGAATAATTTATGAGGAGCTGGAGAAGCAATATGTAGCTCGTTTTCCAAAACCATTGCATGTGCTTTTCTAAAAGAAAACGGAAATTATGTATTGCCGCATCTTGCCAGGATTGCATTTGCAACTTTAACCCCACCCAGGTCCCTGTGACTTGCTAGCCAAGTTTTATACATTCTAAATCTCCTCTAGTTTTTAGGGACTGGGAGATACAACTTCCATTTAGTTAGAAACCTGGAAGGCCTGGGGGTGGGGTGTAGGGTGAAACGAGAGGGTCCAGGAAATGAGGCTACTGCAAAGCCCCCAACAGGGACCTCACTGGCCACAGAAGCAGATTCTTGCTGGTTGACCCCTGAGAACCTTTCCCAACCGCGCAGGTGGAACTGAGCCTGGTACTGATGTTGTAAAAGACATGCGACACCATAAATCTATCTACCACCTGCCCCGCCCACCCCGCTGTCCATGTTAAGGCCCTTTTCTCTTGTTACTGAGCAGGTTCACATTAAAGGTCAAGCTTATAATCTGACTTGAAGCACAGATATTTTTTTTAAATGTGATAAAGAAATTTTTAAGAGAAAGCTGTGGGACGTTAGTCAAATAAAACACCCCATGGATGTCGGTTGGCGAGCACTAGAATAAGAAAAGGGCGCGCAGGGGTTTTTATTACTGCATGTACAGATGTGTTTGAAAGAATTCGTGTCACAGGTACATGTTTAAGGTGACACCTTCGCTCCGTCAGTCATCGAAAATTCCAAGATGAGCTGAAATGGCATCTGCCAGTAGTTTTACTTCACGTGACCAATATTGATGTTGTTACTGAACCATGTAGCCTCGTGATGCATTTTTCAATTCTCTTTCAGAGTGACTGCTTGCCATGGCCGCAATGCCTAGTTTAAACTGAACCAATAAATTGCTGCCTGAGCAATGGCTTTGGGAGGTTCTTTTTATGTACTTATGAAGCATGTATTTTATGGGGGGAAAATGTAACTTTGAGAAATTTGTCTTGGCTTCAACAAACTTCCTTAGGACTCTAAAAAGGAGGAGAAGAAGAAAAGAACAGCATTCAAGCGTCTCTGGAAATAAAGTACCCACACACATGCTAAAATCTGTGTCTTAGAACACCCACCCAAGGCATTGTTTTCAGGCACACATGCTTTGTGCTTGTCTTTCAACACATTCTCTCATTTTATTTTCCTGCTAATTCTAAATCAAAACTGACATCTTTCTTCCAAGCCAGCTGAATTCTCCATCTTCTCTTTTCCCTGTCTTTACTTACGTGCCAGACCCCAGCCTTAAACACACACACATGCTTGGAAGCACTCAGGAGTTCCTGGGGCTTCTGGGAACAACGGGAACCATCAGAAGGATGCGTTCCAAATCTGACATACACTCAACATTCCCAAAGGAGACTTAGGCCATAAGCCTCAGTGCCAAGGAGCCACACTTTCTTTTGTTTGCTTCTTCTGACCTAGAATTATCTTCCCTCTTCACATGAAACTCTAGTTGTGATTTAATCTGCCACTTATGATTGAAAGGGCGAGGGCTATGCCCTCCATCTTGCCCCATATCCTCCATGTTGGGGCAGTAGCCATGTGCTCAGGAAGGTACCTTCTTCCCGGAGGCCCAGGCCTCTGCTGGCCACGCCCGGGATTTCTTTAAACTGACCAATGACAATCAAAGGACGTGCGCGCCATAGCCTGTGTAACAAGACCCGACTTGCGTCTGGCCAATCGGCAGGGCCCACAGTCATCTCTCCTCCCCTCACTCCACCCCCCCTATTAAAACCCTGTTTTTTCTCACGGCGGTCTTTCTCTCCTCTTGCCGTTGCGTCGGAAGAGGCTGGGAGCCAGACCCGGGTCTGTAATAATAATAAAGGACTCTCTGCTTTTGCATCGGACTTGGCTGGCTCCCTGATGGTCTATTGGGGATCTTGAAATCTGGGCATAACAATGATCTTTTCTTTATTGCATAAAATATTTTGCACACACCTGAAAACTACGGAGTAATACAACTATCCACTTACCAACACTTATGTTTCACAAATTAATATTTCATCACATCTGTCCTCTACCATTCTATATAATAAAGAGGTAATATGCAAATTGACCCTCACACCCTCGCACAAGATGGCTGCCCCCATGTGGTCAAAGATGGCCACCACAAGATGGCTGGCAGGGGAGGCTAGTTGTGGGCGATCAGGCCAGCAGGGCAGAGCAATTAGGGGTGACAGGGCCGGCAGGGGAGGGCAGTTGGGGGAGATCAGGCCAGCAGGGGAGGGTAGTTGGGGGCAATTGGGCCGGCAGGGGAGCAGTAAAGGGTCGATCAGGCTGGCAGGGGTGTGTTTAGGGGGTGATCAGGCAGGCAGGTGAGCGGTTGGAAGCCAGCAGTCCTGGATTGTGAGAGGGATGCCTGACTGCCAGTTTAGGCCCAATCCCACAGGGACATCCCCTGAAGGGTCCCAGATTGGAGAGGGTGCAGGCTGGGCTGGGGAACACCCCCCCGCCCAGTGCATAAATTTCGTGCACTGAGCCTCTAGTTTTTTAAATAAATGAAACATCACAAATACAGTAATATACATCTCTCAGTAACCAAATTTTTTGTCTTTCTCTCCAGAGGTAATCACAGTGTTGTAGCTGTTGTATATTCTTCCCTGGCCATTTAAGAAGTGCTTCTTTATGTGTATCTGTAACCATACAACCAAGGGGTCTGGCTGCCCTGTCACTACTTGAGCCAATTCAGCAGAGACAGGGGTGAATCATATATGAGCATTTATTCTAATACTGCTGGCAGCACGGGAGAGCAGCCCCCCTGCTCTGCCCCCACCATAAGCCAGCCATATATATATATATATATATATATATATATATATATATATATATTAGAGAAATATGCTAATTAACTGGGACGCCGCAACGGGTCGACTGGACAGGAGGAGGTTGCACACACAGTGTCGGGGGCAGGGTGGCAGGGGCCTCCGCGCCTGCGCTGGGGGAGGGCCTGATCAGCAGTGGCCGTGGATGCTTCAAGGGTCGGAGAAGGAGTGGGGGGCACTGCGCAATTTCTAATCACACGCTGGGCTCCTAGTCTATATATATATATATATTATGCAAATTAGCCAGGCGTCACAACCAGCTCGAGGAGGCTGCATCACGACCACTCAGGAGGAGCTGCGTGTGAAGATGGGCGGGAGGGGACTGCGTGCCGCCCCCAGCCCCAGCGGACACACACACACCAGGGGTGGCGGCATGTTCCGAGCCATGACACACACATCATGGGTGGGGGCATGCTCTGAGCAGCTGCGCAGTGTGGCTCACAGCACGCCCCCACCCCAGCGGACACACACACACCAGGGGTGGGGGTGTGCTCCGAGCAGTAGCGAGGCACAGCTCGGACCATGCCCTGGGTGGGTGGCGGCAGCAGCCGGAGCAAAGCAGCCCTGGTCCCAGATGCCTGGCAGTGGCTGGAGCAAAGCAGCTCGGGTTCCAGATGCCTGGCAGCAGCCAGAGCAAAGCAGCCCAGGTCCTGGGTGCCAGAGGGAAACTGGTGCCGCCAGCCAGGGGAAGGAAGATCTATTCTTGCACGAATCTTCATGCATTGGCCCTCTAGTCTATATATATAAAAGCCTAATATGCAAAGTGTCCCCTCGGGAATTTGATCGCTCACTATGACGTGTGCTGACCACCAGAGGGTGGCATGGAATGAAGGAAGGCCCTGGATGGCGGCCAGCAGCTGGCAGCCGGGGAAGGGAAGCCCCAGCTGGCAGCCTCTAGGGACCCTACCTGTGCATGAATTTCATGCACTGGGCCTCTAGTATTGGCTAGAAAGACAAAGATTACGTGGGAAAGCAGAAATTACAGGCATGGGAAAGTGGGCACGGAATAATCATAACAGGTTACAAGTCATGCTGGCTGGGGGAGGTCAGGCAGGGAGGGGGGGGCGGTCACAGAGGGTGGGCGCCTCAGGCACCCAAAAACTAGATTACAGGTGATAGGGGCTGGGGGTTGTAAAAAGCAGGGGCCTTCCAGACTAGATGGTTTTGGTCATGAGGTTGTAAATCTTTCCAAAATGACAGGC